ATGGGATGCCAGAATGTCTTGACCCGTCAAAAGGTTGATCTGCTATTCTAAATATCATCTGCGTTTCACGCTTTTAAGCTTTTTCATCGATCCAAAATCTGAAAGATTCTACAAAATAGTCTTGTAGATTGATATATTGTGGTCTTTGTCAAATGTGTCTTATTTGCTTTGAACTTTTCTATTTTATTTATATAATCGTTTTTAGAGTTTTTTTTATGTGTCCTGGGAAATGAAAAATTAGTAACAATTTTGTGTTTCACAATATGATTTGTTTTCCAGTTATTAGAAACTTGTCCATCTGATGAACTAAGGAAACCTATTAGGAGACATTCTGCACAAAAAACGTTTTCTGTGCAAGATTTATTGAAATGCTCACATATTCTTAGTGATGATTGAATTCTGTCCATTATTGATAATGTTCCGACTGTCTCAAAATATATTATTGATCAATTCGCCTTGCATGCTTGTTTAATTTCTTCTTTCTGCCTATTAATTTTAGTCCTAAAGCATTACCTCCTTTGGTTGAATGAAATTTATTCGTGAATGCATGTTATGATTGTTATAATATGAGCAATAACCATTGAGTTTTTTTATGCCTGCACTTCAAGATTTTTCTTAATGTTTAGCCCTAATATGTTCTTGGTTCCTTGGGTTGTTATGAATGGTTCCTTGGGTTGTTATGAATGGTGTTTTATGTATTGCGAACAACCTGAGGTAATGATGACTATCCTTGACAAAACACACTTTTGTGTTTCTTGTAGTCAATCCCCTTGCAGGTGTTGCACCATATGTGGACACAGACTTGCAGCTTAGCGGTCCAGGCCTTTCTGCTCATTATTTTGGAACTCCTGGTTTGAAGCCCGAAAATCAATTAGCAAAGAAAAAGCGGACACCTTCTAAGAGAAAGCGCAATGGTGAGTTAGCCGAAACCTAAACAAGATCAATCTGGAAGAGTCTTGTCTGCTTTTATCTGGATCTTAGAATTCCCCTATTTGATCTCTAGGCTTGTGTAACATATGGTTTTCAGGAACTTTTTGAATGTTCTAGGTTTAGTAGCTTGCTAGTTATGTAGGATACATCGTGTCAATGTTGTGAACTATATGTTTATCGTGCTATCCTGGCAATAAGAGATTTGTAGTTCAAATATGTTTGCTTCACTATGCTAACTATAGGCAGTGGCATCTTGGGTACAACACAACCTTACTACTGAGGTAAAGCTTTATTAATGGGGTATTACATCAGGAACATTTTTGAATGTTCTTAGTTGAGCTTTAGCTTAATCTCAGCTTATAAGTTTGACAAAACTTGAAGTCAGTTCATTTGATGCGCTAATGATACTTTTAACATGTGTTAGGTCAATGCTTGTCAATATCATTCTACTCTTTACGCGTTCATTAAAAAAGTTCATTGGTCATTCACCTCTTTCATCCTCTTGGATCAGTAATTCTTGTTATTTTGCCACATTTTTATCGCATGTTATCGCTCGCTAAATCAATGTGCTTCATGGTTGGGCTGAGGGCCGGAAAGGGCGAGTTTGATATAAAATTGGTCGTGTAGAGAATAAATAGAACTAATATTGTACAGTGTTCATCCATTGTGATTTGCAAATGGTAATAATAAATCAATGAGAACGTACGAATTTTTCATGTAACAAACTAATCCTAACCGGCCATCTAAGGCAAGTTGATGGAGATGGCCATGGAGCTTTTCTTTTTGAAGAATAATAAGTAGCTCACTAATAGAGTAAAGCCTTACTCATTTAGTAAGGAAACGATGTCTCGCATTAGATGGAGTAATTCAATTTCTTATAAGTTCATCATTTACTCCATTTCTAACTGATGAGAGAGTTAGTTCGCACTCTCACAACAATCTCTCTTGGAAGTAAGTATCATATTGTGTCAGCTGCCCTCCAAACAACCATCTATCCATCTCCTTCCTCAAATCGAGAAGGATTGGTTGCTCTTACAAGGCATGCCTTTTTCACTGCATCAGGGACCATTTTTATCTGGCCATTGCGATCCATCTAGTTTCGCTGCAACTGAGAATTCATTTCGTACGTCTAGTGGTTAAGTTTGAATTATTGGTTGGGGAACAGTGGGATCCCACGAAGCTTTGGTTGGTAGTGCTCTGCATTGAATGAAATTTGGCTTATTGCTAAAGTAAAATGGCAGTGTCATTCCAGAGATGAATTCCTCTGCTGTGTCCTCTTTCAGTCATGTCAGGGATGAGAGTGAAAATCCCATCTCTTTACATGGGGTGGGGTTGTGGGGTAGCCGTGGGGGTGATTGGGGGCGTTGCCCACCTTGGTTTTATTGCATGGATATGGTAAATTCAAAGACATTTTGGGCACTAGACCTCTAAATCTTTTCAAATATATAACCAATGGACCATTGCAAAAATACGACAAGTTGCTCATATTTTACAAATCATGGTTACAAAATAGGAGATATTCCCCAAATAGTACAAGAGTAATGAGAAAAATACTCGCCCCTATGAGTGTGAGTTTAATTTGAAGTCGATTGATCGATTAGTGTATTAATTGAGAAAGTAAATTTTCATCATCGACTTGTCTAGAGACCTATGCTTCAAGTAGATGGGATGAAATATATCGTGTATGCTTGGTACACAATGCCATAATATTTAACTTCAAAGGAAATAATTTGATGTATTATTTCTTTTATTTAATTGTTTCAAAAATAACTAAACTTTGGGTCGTGTCACAGAACCTTATTGAACTTTAAAATATAGTTGAAATATCACTGAACTTTGTCAAAATGTTCTCTATCCATCACTTGTTAACATTTCATTAGTTGGCTTAAACAAATTGACAAAGTGACAGACATTCAGATTGACTCGAATTGCCATCCAATTCTTTCAACCAGTGTTAGATTGTGAGCATTTTGATAAAGTTCAATCAAGTTTTAGCAACATTTTAAAAGTCACCTAAGGCCTCCCAAAAAAGACTTTAGGTTTAAACGTTTTATTTGGTACTCTATTTTTAATTTTTAAATATCTTTGATGATCGATCTTTATTTTTGATTGTCAAATCGAAATTGAGCTAGTATAAGGTTGCAAGGTTAGGTTAACATTGAGGTTAGAACGAGCCTCCTTTTTAGTTTGATATAAAATATACTGTAATCTTCATTTTCTTTATAATGAAATCTTGTAAAACGAAGTAGACACAACTATCGCATCAGATGCAACTCAAACACATTTGGAAGCCTTAGGCAAAAATTTCTAAGGGGTCTTTTCAAAAATAATTGTAAAAAGTTTATAGAAAAAGTGATCATCAACAGAATTATAGATTACACTCGATGAAAATCAATAGTGGTGACTTGTACTGAATTATCAACAAAAATATCGTTAGTGATTATTGAGACACTTCTACCAATGATTATCGAATCACGTTGTGTGGTGACGTCATCGGTCATCACGAACAATACTTCGGTCTCTGATTGCTTTATTTTTGTTTTTTTTAATATTCTTTCGATGATTAATTATTTCAAGAATAGCTAAACTCTGTGACGAGGATCTCACTAAACTTTAAACAAAATGTTACTAACATTGTAAAAAATATTCTCAATCAATCACTGGTTGGAAATATTTGACAAATTGGTATCACTTGTTAATTCTGTCAGAGACGTACTTCCTCCAAGCCGACTAACGAAATATTAAAGAGTAATTAAAGGAAGGTATTTTGATCAAGTTCAATAATTTTTCAATTACAATTTTGTTCCCTTGACGCAATCCTAAATTAAGTCTATGTTTGTCTTCCGTTATGAAAGTTACGTAGTTTCATCCTAACAATACCTTGGGGGGTGATAAGTATTATATGCGGAATTAAAAATATTTTACGAATTAAATAGCAACAAATCACTTTTTAATTCTAATCTAGATGATTAAACAAGCAAGTCATTTTAACCCTAAGTTTGAATACCACAATTTATGTGATCAATCAATAAGTAATAA